GATAAATAGAAGCGTCATGAGCACAATGCTTGACAAACGAATCATTGTGCCCAAGGCACGGTTTTACGGTAAACCTCCTGGTAGCGCGAAAATGACACAAAAACTAACCTGGGGGTCCTTCAGTTGTATTTCCTCTAAGAACAACAGGGTATCCACATACTCATTGACAAAGAAACCTTGTTTATCAGAATTACGCGCTTGATCAAGAAACTGAGTGACAGTCAACCGTCGTTTTGGCCCTCGTACGGTGGCATTTAATGCAATCAAGCGACGGTAACTGGAAACAAGAGAGGCAGGTAATCGTTGTAGTGCATCAGGCGAGGAGAGTTGCGACCGATCACGTAGTGAAGTGTTCGGATTGAATAGTTCCCAGATGAAACAACCAAGCCCCCAGGAGTCCACGAGACGGGTATCCGGTGGTAAATATGGATCTACCAGAACCAGCGAATGAACCGAAAAAAATATTGTGATTTTTCACATCAAATTGACAGAAGTAGGTAACATCAAACTACATACAAGCGTAGATAACAGCTCACTTCACAGACAATTAGATTATGTCCATAAAGCGAACAACAACCCCAACTGAGAATTTCGTATCAAATATCGGCTCCCGCTAGTATAAGACTTGGACGGTTTACTGACTTCATAACACCGATGCTGATGCGGGCCAGCCATAACTTTTAACCACGAAACATACGATGAAAAATCGGCATCATAATACTGAGCCTGCTCAAAAGACAGTATTGCTTCACTGCTCTGCCACCGTAATAGTGCATTTTTCCCGGGCTCCAAAAAGAATCGAAAGAGAGAGGGACTAACGTCAGCCAAGCACAACCATCAAAAGGTGCTTACATCATGAAGTAGTTGAAATAATTGGAGACTCCAATGGAACCCCTCTAGAATCGCCGCTATCATCTACATATTGTTTCCTAGTTCTTGATCCGCGTCAATCTCAACAGGACATCAGGAATATCTCTCTGCAATGTAGAATTAGAATCTGATCAAACCATTCGTTTTTTGTTGGATGAACTGCTGTGGTAAACTATCCTCTGTATAAGCACGCAACTCACCGCAACTTCCCACATAATTTCATGCATGAATTACTTGAAAAATGAAGACACCCACGGATACATCAGATGAAAATGCCACAAACACTTTACTACCGCATAGGAGGACCATAGGATTTGCTACCGACCAATGAAAAACACTGCGGTGAATCTTCACGCAGAAACGAGGCTCGGTTGGTGCAATGTCATGCTCTTACACCTAGCTTCGAAGAACGACCCACGCATTTTCATGTGAAGGATACCAGATGGCACAGAACCGTCTCAACCCCGAAGGTCTTCAAATTCGAAGGAACGCGCTGTTACCAACTATCCCAAACGCTCTGAACGAAACCCTGCAAGCCCGATGCTAAGCAAGTTAGAAACGAGAGGACAGATTTTAAGGGGCATCCCGGAAAGAGCATAACATGGCCGCGTTAGGCAAGAAGGATAATACTAAAACAGTAGTTTGAGATGAAATTCGTTAAAATGTGAAAACCTATTTTGCGCTCCCCATAAGCTGAGTGATTTGTTCTCTTTAACTACTTACCAACCTACTCAGCCTAATTCGGGAGCTAGGCGTATCAGGGAAAACTATAAAAAGTGGTAAGCTCAAGACTTCCAACACGGTGGTTTGGAAGGGATAGAAAATGGTCGTGTAAATGAACCACGTGGCAGAATGCAGCAATAGTGAAAGTGGCAAGCTCACCAGAACCATTTTTATCCAAGTGCACAAATGCGCCGGTCGACCGACTAGACGGAGGTGGGTCATCCACCGGTCCAACAAAATCCAGAGCCCCAAGTTTCCACTCGCCAGCAGTCGTGACGAACACGGCATCCATACGAACAGCATTGTGTGCCAGCTTGGCATCGTCATTGAGGAAGGATAATGCACGAGAAATCTAGACACAGTGGACATGAAAGTAGAGAGGAAAAAAGAAGTTATGGTGGGTGTGCAACCGCGTTTAACCCTACCGCATCACACCCCGATGGCTAGGGGGGGGGGGGCGATCGGAAGCCGGCAAGAACCGGATGTGTGATTAGTAGACAGAACATCAGAGTAGAGTATGAGTTCCACAGATATCTAATCAATGGATGCGGCCACCTGTGGATATGTCGAGGTTGAACAACGAGAATTGCTGTAATCGACCACTAGCCTGAAAGTTTGAGTAAAGGATAGAATAATAATTCACATGTGGCACCCTTTCGACTTATAGCAACTCGGGCGATACACGATGGCTAAACTACTGACAGATTGCCTCAGTCTTGGAAGGAGCAACAAGAGAGTCAGGATTGGGTGCGAACCAAGAACCTTCAGCTCAGTTACGCGCTGATTCACCTCGAGCCCAGATTCCTTAAATTACTGGTTTGAAACTGATCAGACAATGATGTGAGAATCCACATGACGCAGAAAAGTGCACTGTTGGCAACAAAAGGCTGGAATCAACCGAAACTCAGCCGAGTTCAATTGTTTGCGTTTGTCGCGCCATTACTGACCTCGGTACGGTTCTGGAATTGAATGAATTATAACTAATAAAAACCGTCACCACCATCATCATCATCAACACTGTTGGCAAAGGCTGGAATCAACCGAAACTCAGCCGAGTTCAATTGTTTGCGTTTGTCGCGCCATTACTGACCTCGGTACGGTTCTGTCTGGGAATGAATTATAACTAATAAAAACCGTCACCACCATCATCATCATCAAAGACAGCAACATCAGTGTTGCCACTGATGTTTCACTGCCGCACAACCACAAGGTTCGTCTAGTTATATATATATATATATAATTGTATTAAAAGCCCTACAGTGAAGAGAAGAGAAAAAGAGTGGGAGAGAGAGGGGACCTAATGCTGGCCTATGTCAAGCATACTGAGGTGCCTACACCTCCAACCGCTCAATCAGACAATCTGGAAAGAAACTGACAGCACGAACGCCACTGACATCGATTAGCCGCCATTTCTTGCAATGTCTCCAGCCAAGCACAGACGGGGTCACGGGGACTCTTTCACTCCCTTCTGTCAAGTCATGCTCTGTCCACCTCGCGGTTTACAGCATCCTGAGGGAGACACGGAGAACACCACTCGTCTCGGTAGACGGTGTTTCAGCATGCGTAGCACATGACCGAGCCATCGTGGTCGATGATGCTGAATGTTTTCTCGGATTAAGGTGCCTACAGCACAACCAAATGACCGCTTTCTAATCACCTCGTTACTAATACGCTGACGCCATCCGAAACCAGCCATGCTTCTGAGGAGTCGATGGTCGAAAACCTGAAGACGCCTCATATCCTCTACCCGCAGAGGCCATGTCTCGCACCCATACAACACAGCCCTTACTGTATCCTGGTACACACGACCCCTAAGATCTAGTGAGCTGTTTTTTTGACACCAAAACTGACGCAAATTAGCAAACGTGATTCGAGCCTTTGAGACTCTTGCACTGAATTCGTCAGACACTTCTGTTAGAGCTAATACAACTACCGAGGTGTATAAGGTGCTCCACAATCTCCAGTGATTCTCCTTGAATTGTGAAGGGTATGTTCGCAGATATCACGTTCTGAAGCATGACTTTGAACTTTGAGGGTGCAGGGCGCATGCCAAAAGGTGGTATGATGGTGGTCAGTTTATTCAACAAGGTTTGTGCTTCGCTTTTGTTTCCAAAGATGAGGGCGATGTTATCTGCTTACTCCAAATCGACAAGGCTCTCGCCAGCAACAATTTGAACACCGCAGTTTTGAAGACCGTCCAGTGTTCACCTCATTATTTCATCAATGACGAAGTTGAATTAGAATGAAGAGAGTGGACATCCTTGTCTGACACCACTTTTCTCCCACCCAGGGGTATGTGAATATAGGGGTAGGACTATGCTTACAAACTTCTGGGGCATACCCTGTTGAGCAAGTGTGGTTTACAGCACCGACCAATTGACAGAATCAAACGCACCCTTGAAATCAAGGAATACCAGGATTGTGGGTCGTCTATATATGTGGCGTTGCTCTAACACCTGACGGAGTTTGAAGATGTGGTCAACGCAGCCTCTACCCGGTCAAAATCCCGGTTGATTCTCACGAGTCAAGGCTTCGTGTACCACCGTAAGACGACGAAGAATCAGTGACACCGGAAGCCTTGTCACATCAGGCGTTAAACTAACTCCTCTGTGGTAATTAAATTAACTGCGTGTGCCCTTTTTGAAAATGGACACTACTATCGATTCACCCCAGTTATCTGGGACGGTCCCCCTCTGCCAAATAGACCCAAATAGGCCAGACAGGCACTGGCTGATTCCCACCATCCTTGAAAAGAGCAGGTGGAAGGTTGTCAGGATCAGCAGTACGGTGATGCTTGAGTGGAGAAATACATTTGAACACTCCTGAGACTGAAGGCGGCTCCATATTTACGGTCCACCTTTCTGTTGAAGGCCGGGTTTCTGGATTGGGGGTAGCAGGTGGCCAGCTGAATTGCTGTTCGAAGTACTGTGCCCAGCGGTCCAAACGTTCTGCTTTGTTGCATATCAGGGAGCCATTTTTGGCCCTGATTATTTCGCTGACAAGAGGTTTCCGAGTACCAGTCGAACGAATCAAGTGGAACAATTTGCGCACGTTTCCAGCATTCTTCGCATCTTCCATTTCTTCGACCTTTCGGGTCCATCAAGCTTCTCGGTCTGCGCGCACACTCAGTTTTACCTGGCGTTGGATGATGTGCCGGGTGGAGTTGTCCTGGCGACCAGGTGGGATCTGTCACCGGGTCCCAAGAAAAGACACGGTTCTATCAGAGATCCAATGCTTGGATGAGGTTGGCTGGGTTGTACCGTAAGCAGACGCTCCTGCTTTGAGTAACGCGTTGGATATGCTTTCCCAGTGGCCGTTTATATCCGACACCATACCGTCCGGCAGGCATTGGAGGAGCTGGCAACGATAGTTGCGTTTGGTTTATGGGTCAACCAGCTTCTCAATGGCTAAGCGAGAAGTGCACAATTTGCGTACACCTGAAAAGCGCAATGAAAAGCAGCAGCGTACAAGTGCATGGTCGGAGTCCATGCTGGTGTTCCAGAAGGAGCGCCAGGCGGTGATCGACCCTCGCCACCGATAACTGACGGCGATGTGGTCTATTTGGATTCGGCGCTGGTTTGATGGTGGGCACCACGTTGTCAAGCAATTTCCGCTGTTCCGGAAATTCGCACTGCAAAGGAACACCAAATCGCCATGCAATGGAAAGCCTACAAGAACTGTCTGTTCAGCTGAGCTACGGGTATCGTGTCAAAGAAATATACCATTTTAATAATGTTGGCCGGTCTCATTATGGTGTACAGGTTCCAGTCCGGCGGTATTCAGGGGCGATAAAAAGGGCTTTGTTATAACGTTTATGGCTGGACAAACAAAGTTGATGAATATAGCTCTGAAAACCGCAGTAATTAAACGATAAACCTACCTGATAGATGCCCCAAGAAGACATGAGATTGAAATTCCCACTGTCGGCTTTAACGCGCAAGTAGTCTCTAAGTGGCACAACCCGCTCTGTGATGAGATGGAATTCAATCGGAAGCTTTTGGCCACTGGCTAACTCTGTCCCAGCAATCCAGTTGAGAATGTTCGGATGACGCAAAGTCTTCATCCATCTAGTGGTTTGATGAAGTGACTCTACGACAGACCCCGTCATAGGCATGCTGGATTGAAAGGATTGAAGGTTACAACTGAATACTGAGACTTCATCGGTATTCTTCTTTTTGTTGTATGCATTTCGAACTCGCCACTCTAAACCAAAGGCACCGTCTATCGTGTGGTACACCGCATCTTCCGAGGCCGTCAGAGCAAATCCGGCTACTGGATCACTAGTGAAGTTCAATCCCATGGAGCCGATCGATGGCAGCGAAGAAGTTGAATCCTTGTTACTGAACAGCCACATCTTCTGCGAGCTGAAGAGAACAACAGATATGAAGTGAGATCAATGGTGAACATCCAAAAGAGGACCACTTCAGAGACATTCTTATAGGAATCTAGGGTCAAAACCTCGAAAAGCTCACATCTTGATCAACCGAGTAGTACCATTTGCTCTCATATTTTCCTATTCGTAAACGTCCCTTTCCAGCCCATTTTTATGTTGCAAGTAAACGCCACCTAGTTGTTTGTACCGGTACCCCTTATCCGAACCACCGCCCATTAGCATCGACGAAAGAACGTTGCAATAAATCCAAGAGATCATTTGTAGTAATAACCTTCAACGCCAATGAATATCAATTTAGCAAACATGCAATACTAGCTCGAATGTGACAAGTAGTGCCTCCAAAGGCTGTTACAGTGAAACTAAGTGCTGTGGGATCTTCACGCCTATTCGGATGGGATCCACGTGATCCTCCTTGAAGGTGATTGGAGATTCTGCATGCAAATGACCCCCCGGTGCGCATTCTATCATCTTCTAGCCGGACGACCTAGCTAAAGCTTGTTTGTCGTTGTACGCTGAGGTTACGTCGAGTGACGTTTTCAAATAAAGTTGGGTCAATGCTGCTGATGGCGTTTCGCTTCAACGCGATGCTCAAATATATCTAATAACATGCTGTCCAAAGTACTAGGTACCTTATTCTTATGTTTTTCATAAGAACACTGGGCCTCTTTGCACTACTTCCATACCGTTTCGTTTCTTCTACCACGAAGTGACTGGACCTTATTGTAGTGTGACGGCTTGCATACCTCATTAACCCATTGAGCTGTACAGTACAGTGGTTGTGCAGCATACATAGTCTCTCCTTCCAGGTTAATCAATCGACAGAGATCTGACAATCACTCAGCCCTCTAGGTTGGGGATTTGACCAGGTGCAGCCATCTGTTCCCTAAAATTTGGGCTACTTAAATGGTCTCAAGCTAACCACTGCTACGTTGCGGCCAGGCTTTTGAGCCAAAGGCCTCGATTGAGGGACTTACTCGTTCTCCTGTCTAGGTTTGGGCGCTCTGGCAGTACCTCAACCCACATAAAACTATGAAGTTTAAAAATAAAAGTACGTTCACGCGATATCGACCACTGCGTGGTGAAATCAACCATGTTTTATTCACTTTTTACATTATCATCGTCATCACGATCAGAGACAGCAGCGTCAGTGTTGACACCGATGCCTCATTGCCGTACAACAAGGTTCGAATAATTATATTAAAAACTTCAGAATGAAAATAAGAGAAAGAGTGAGTAAGGTAGGGGACCTGGTGCTGGCCTGTCGTGAGCACTCTGGGGTGCCTACATCTCCAAACAATCAATAAGACAATCTTGAAATAATGACAGCATGAATACCACTGTCATGCGACCCTTGAGAGTGATATCCTGTTTTGACGTCACAAGTGGCGTAAATAAGCGAATGTGATTCGAGCCTTTGAGATTCTTGCGCTGACTTCATCAAACAAATCCGTCGGAGCTGATGTAACTACCGAGGTATGCAGAGTACTTCGCAACCTGCAATTATTCTCCTCGAGTTGTAAAGAGGTATTTCCAGACTGTACGTTCCGAAACATGACTTTCCACTTTGAAAGTGCCAGTCGCATGCCGGAAGATGGTACGACGGTCATCAATTTATCCAACACAGCTTGTGCTTCGCCTTCACCTTCAAAGATGAGAACGATGTCGTCTGCATACTCCACACCGACAAGGTTTTCACCCGCAACAATTTGAATACCATGGCTTCAAAGATAGAACGATGTCGTCTGCATACTCCACACCGACAAGGTTTTCACCCGCAACAATTTGAATACCATGGTTTCGAAGACCTTTCAGAGTTCGCCTCATTTGTTCATCGACGACGAAGTTGAACAATAACGGAGAGGGCAACGTCCTTGTCAGACACATTCTGCAGGTAATCTTTTGGAGGGCCCACCACATTCTCTCACACGCTCAGAAGTATGTAGATATTGGGACCGGATTATATTCACAAATGCACCTTCTACCCGGTCGAAATCTAGCAGGATGCTCACAGGTCAAAGTTTCGCGTGCCACCGTAAGACAGTGACGTAAAAAGCTTTGTTACAACGGGAGCCAAACTAACACCTCTGTGGTTACATCCACTGCGACACTCTCTTTGAAAACGTGCACACTTATCACTTACCCTTGTCTGGAACGGTCTCTTTCAGATAGACCCCAATAGGCCAGACAATCACTGGCTGAGGAACCCATCGCCATCTTCGAACAGAGGAGGTGGAAGGTTGAGGACAAGCAGACCGGTGCCACTTAAGTAGAGGTATACTTGGGACACTTCCGAGGTTGAAGGAGGCTCCATATCCACAGTCCACCTTTCTGTTGAAGGCCAGGATTCCGGACTGGAGGTAGCAGATGGTCAACTGGATTGCAGTTCCAAACGTTCTCCTTTGTTGGATACCCCAGAGGCATTTTGGTCCGTGATAGTTTCGCTGACAAGAGGCCTCTGACGACCAGTCGAACGAATCAATTCTGAAAGCTTGCGGATATTTTCAGCGTTGTTCTCGTCTTCCATTTCTTCGGCCTTCCGGGGCAACGAAGGTTATTGGTGTACACGGACACTCAGTTGCACCTCGCGTAGAATGATGCACCGGGTGAAATTGTGATTGCTGCCGCGAGGCATCTATCTCCCGGGCCTCCAGTAAAGCCACCGTCTCATCACAGACCCAATGATTGGATGAGGTTAGCTGGGTGGCACCTTGAACAGGAGTTGCGGCTCAGGATAGCAGTGTGGATATCTGTTCTCACTGGCCGTTAATACCCAACATCAGACCTCCCGACTGTTATATACTGACGTTGTGTTAAATTGTTTACTTGTTATTCGTTAAAATAGTTGTGGTTCCTAATGTTTTAGCTGATGTACTGAAATTGTTAGAAGATTAAAGCCGATCATTCGGCAATCCTCGTTCTCCATTTCTGGCACAATTATTCGAGTGCGCAACAATTTAGTCTTCTAACAAAATACAATGGAACGATTGTTTCGCCAGGATCGGTTTGACGCCGATCCTTAATCCTCTTCTGCTTCAGAACGATGGATCCATCGGCACGAAACGTTTACGAATTTCCTCTCGTGCATCGAAATTTAAACGTTGACAAAAGAAAACTTTTGGTAAATTTTCTTTCTCCGTCCGTCTATCAACATGTTCATGAACGTACTACTTACGAAGACGCCATCCGAACGCTCGGAACGATGTACATTAAACCCAAAAATGAAGTGTTTTCTCACCATGTGCTGGATACTACCAAGAACCTGGTCAATTAGTCGATGCTTTCCTGCAAAAATTACGTTACCTTGCCAAAGACTGCAATGTTCGTGCGGTTTCTGCCGATGAACATCGGGATGAGGCTATTCGAGACGCTTTTATCACAGACTTGAAGTCTAACTCCGTTCGCCAACGACTACTAGAAAAACACTCTCAAGCTTCAACAAGCGTTTGACGAGGCACATCTTCTTGAACATGCTCAACGACACGACAGTCACTACGATTCGTCTTCTCATGTTCCCTGTGGCGCCGCATCTATCAAAACTGATAAACCTTTGACTCCTGTTCGTGATGCACTGCACTTTCAGACGGACTCTAATGACGCGATTGCAAGCACATCCTTATCTTGCTTCTTCTGTAGTAGCGGTAAGCACATTCGTTCAAAATGCCCGGCTCGTGAATCTTTGTCATTCCTGCGGCAAGAAAGGTCATTTCCAAAAAGTTTGTCGATCCAAACCGAGTTCAAGTCGTATCACATCGACGGTGAACCCTGGTGTCTCATCCATTGGACTTTCTCAATCAACCATTGATGTTATGGTGAATAACATCCCACTTCATATTCTTATCGATACGGATAGCTGTGAAAGTTATATTTCTTCCGACATCGTCCTGAAGTACGGTTGCACAATAACATCCTCTAAGAGAGCTATCTCGATGGCTTCAACTAGCGGTCAACTTTATGCTGCCGTGTTGTACAAAAGCACGCGGTATGAGGGCGCCAAACTCTCACTCTTGTCCAATTTGTGTTCAGACGTTATTTTTGGCTTGGATTTTCTCGACCTACACCGAAGTACGGTCATACCATTCACGGTTAAACGACCCCCATTCGCCGTATGCACACTGAAAGCACAGAAAGTCAATGCTCTCTCTTTGTTTGATAATCTCACCCTTGGATGTACTCCAATTGCTACAAAATCTCGTTT